TTTATTTTTTAAGAAGAGAAATTGCTTCTGTTCAGACCTGAGTGGTTCCGACCTGCCCAACATGTTGTTGGGCTTCCTGCTGCAGAACAGCTGATTTCAACTGATTAACCGGCGCAAGTCAAACTGACAGCTGGATCAGGTGCTGGATCAGGTGCGTCAAAGCAGAGAAACAACTAAACACTGAGGGTCGCAGGTACAAACACTGTGTTAAAGACTCTGAGGCCCCCAACAGAGACAGACCTACCTGCTGATGACAGCGATACCCAAGACTTCTGACGCAGTGTTCTTGATGTTTATGCGCTTAGCGGCCCGAGGAGGTAGCTTTGGAAACAGCTGATTTCCAAATCAGCTGTTTCCAACCTGACTCAGTATTACCGAGCTAGCTAGCTCGTGGGCAGCCGTGCCAAACACGTCTACGTCAAACCCGGTCGGGACGAAACAAGCGGAAGTCTCCCCGGAGCTTCTGCGTGTCTCGTACTCACCAATATCCCCAACGTAATACGGTTGAGAAATCTCTACTTCCATCCCGGTTGTTCTCTTCTTTTCACCGGTGAAGCGGCGTTAAAAGCAGACACAGTTATGGTTGTTTGTAAACAGCCGCGTCTTCACTGCTTGCGTGCTTCCATAGTCACGTGACATGACTGGACACCGATGAGGAGCCTGGTACTTGTAGTTTTTGTGAATATTGACGTCGGACAAAGTTATATCCAGGAGTATCCGTGTATATCGATTTAATAATTCAGATATTGGCCTTACGCCTGTTTCAGGAGTGGCCAGATCACAACATGAATGATCCATCCATGAGAAAACAATCATTAAAGGATTACTGATTGCAGAGCAAAACAAATTTACTGCTGATACGACAATAAATAACAGTGTATACATGTAGAGATTTCTGATCTTGGCTGACTGGATATAAGAAATCAGATGCATTCAAAAAGAACACAAATTCAAAAATGAGACTTACCCAATTTTTCAAGGTGTCTCATCCAAAGGTGGTCAAAAAAGCAGTGGCTGGTACTCATCAGATCAACTTGTCGTTCTGTACCTATCACACAAAAATCCAGATAAAACAGTGTAAGTAATAAAAAAAAAGATAAAAATAAAAAATAGGCAGTACAACTTGATGTCTACAAATATCTTAAAAGAAATTTTGACGAGTCAAAATTCAAGGTCCAGATATCTCTGATTTAGTTTTACCTAATTATTATTTGCTTTCAGGATATTTGAAATTTAATTTCCACTTGTCAGATCGATCTACATCCTACCTAAAAGTACATTTAAAATATCTAGAATTACAGTGTATTTCAAGATAGCTGTAGAATTATAACTAGCCAGAACAAAAAGTGAAATATTATATATATTTACATTATGACTAGCCACAGTTTAATTGTTGATACCTGAAATAGATGCTTTAGGTAGTTTGTAATTAAGTGTGATGAAACCAAATTTCATGTTGAAACTGTCTGCCATTAGCTGAATGTATGAGACATCATACATCACCAGTGATGTCACATATCCCTTTGATATTTGACGTTTTATACATCATCAGAATTTTCTGCATTCTGCTAGCATTCGTTTTGCTCTGACATTTTGCTTCATTTCTAAACGGCAAGAAAAATTGTAATCAATTTTTAAGTTTCAGACAGCAAGAACAATTTCAAAATGTTCACAATTTTCAAGAGAACGCAGAAACCTGTTTTTATCGATCTTGAAGAAATGCGCAAAAGGAATAATGAGGCAATCCAAGAACTGTTGGAAAAGAACCAAAAGCTTGAAAAGAAGAGAGATCTCCGAAATCCAAAAAAAGTGATGAAAGCTGAGATGGAGTTGAGCGAAGAATGTGAAAGACGGATTAGAAAGTTGGATCTGGAAGCTGACAAATGGAATGCAAAGGAAGAAAAACTGATGTATTTAGACAGAAGGAGGAATGAACTTTTCCAGACTTTGGAAAAGACGAATGAACAATTAATTGAGAAACCTGTGTTAAAATCTTACTTAAGTGGGGCTAAAGAACAGCAGAAAAGCCTCAAACGTCTTAACACTTGGTTAGAGAATCATGTTAACATCTTGACAGACCAACTTTCATATCAAACTAAAGTATTTGATAAGTACACGAAGTCTGCAGACAGTAACAGAAAATTGATGAAGATTCAAGAAAACTGCATAACAGAGATTATGGACAAGTTGGAAATATTCAACTTGGCGGCTTTGAATGACAAAAACGTGGCAAAAGATGAAAACCTGGATCATTTAGACAAAAAGAACAATAGTCTTTTGCAAAAGCTTGAAAGTTTGAAACAACAGCTAATTGATGTGCCTATGATGAGATACCACTACAGCTGTGTAAAACAAGAATGCCGAAGGCTCACACAACTGAACCCTAAGTTAGAAAAACTGGTTCAGGACCTGACAGACGAACTGTCATATCAAACTGCACTGGAACGTGATTACAGAGAGACAGCCGATTTGATCAAAGAGCTGGAGGAGATCAAACAAAATTACCTATACAAAATAGAGGATTTAAAATCAACGATGAAACTTGGGATAAAATCAAAGAAAAAGGACAAAGACAACCTGACAAAACGCTTAACTTCCCTTGTGCTTAAACTCAATGATCTCAAGAAGGAATTTTTTTCCTTCCAACTAGAGATTGAGAACATTCTTGGAGATGTTCAGTCTTTTAATGCTGTGAATGTCCGAGATAAAATTCGTCCAGCAGATCAGAAGCTTACCAGAGAGGGTTCTAATTCAGCAGGAGAATGCAGACAAATTTCATTGGATTCAGTATTATCTGAAGGAGAATGCGTGCCTCCTTCCCGAGAAAACCAGAAACAAAAGGATGTTTCAGAGTCAGAGGATGAGGCAAGTGATAAGGTATTGGAAAACAGCTCTTTAGAAGAAACAACAACTGAAGAGGACTTATCAGGCTTAAACAACACAACTGTGACAGATTCAGACCGTCAAGACCACCAAAGCCTAAGAGAAAACGAGAAACAACTTGATATTTCAGAGTCGGAGAATGAGACAAGTGATGAAGGGTCAGAAGACAGTACTTCGGAAGATACAACATCTGAAGATGACTTAACAGAATCATACAGCACAGCTATAAATGAGTCATTTCCTCAAGACCTCCAAAAACAGAGAGAAAACGAGAATCAAGAGAAGATTTCAGAGTCGGAAGATGAAACAAGTGATGAAGAGTTCGAAGACACAACATCTGAAGATAACTCAACAGATTTATGCAACACGCCTGTGAAAGAGTCAGACCCTCAAGACCTCCAAGGGCTGAGAGGAAACAAGGAAAAAGAACACTTTTCAGAGTCAAAGGTCAAAGCAAGTGGTAAAGCATTAGAAGACAGTACTACGGAAGATACAACGTCTGAAGATAACTTAACAGAATCATGCAATTCAACCACGAAAGACTCAGACCCTCAAAACCTGCAAGGGCAGAGAGAAAATGAGAAGCAATTAGATTTTTCAGAGTCAGTGAAAAAGACATGTGAAAAAGAGTTTGAAGATAGAACTCTGAAAAACACAACATCTGAAGATAACTTAACAAACTCATACAACACAACTGTGAAAAAGTCAGACTGTCCAAACCTTTCAACCTTGAGAGGAAATGAGAAACAGGAGGATTTTCCAAAGTCAAATGACAGGATACACGAGAAAGAGTTAGAAGACAGGACTTTGAAAGACGCAAGATTTGAAGATGACTTGACAGAGTCACACAACACAACTGTTAAAGGGTCAGACTCTCCGGACCTCCAAAGGCTGAGAATGAAAGGGAAACAGGAGGATTTCGCAAAGTCAGAGAACAAGACAGGTGACAAAAAGCTAGAGGAAAGTCCTTTGGAAGACATGACATCTGAAGACAACATAACAGATTCACATGACACAAGTTTGAAAGAATCAGACTGTTAAGACTTCCAAAGGCTTAGAGACAGACATCAAGAATCCACTTCAGAAGAGGACAACACATCTGAAGACCGAGACCATTCAGAAGAGTGATACGACAGAGACAGACAGATGGTGGGCAGCGCATGTAAAAACCAGAACCAAGCCAGGGAAAACGATCTGGAGAGAGACTGGACCAGATGAACTCTAGCGCTTGAGGTAGGAGATATATTTTCCAGCACTGGCTGGGCCAGTCAGAAGAGGAAACATGCGTGGCACATGTGGGAAGGACGGATGGATGGATGGATGGATGGAGGGATGGATGGACTTAACTTCCCTTGTGCTTAAACTCAATGATCTCAAGAAGGAATTTGTTTCCTTCCAACGAGACATTGAGAACATTCTTGGAGATATTCAGATATTCAGTCTCCAAGAATGGATTCAAACCTCAGGTGGGAATAGTTTGTGTTATGTTTGCATGTGGTAACTGTGCATATGTGGCTTTTCTCCAGGTGCTCTGGTTTGCCTACATCATCCAAAAAAATTGATACTATATTTGCTATGGTATCAAATAGAACACATTACACTCAAAATAAAGCCATCCATACATTTTCTAACACCCTTCTCCCTAGTGGGGTCAGAAGGGGTGGTGAGGTTTACCTCCGGCAAATGTTTTGGCCGAGAGGCAGGGTACACCCTGGACATGTCGCATGGCAGAGTCTAATACTGATTTTATTAACAGTTCTACATCCAAAAGTATGGAGTTTTTGTTGTTTTTTTTTTCTTTTTAAAAGCAATAATCTTTTGTGGTGCCAGTAGCAACTGTGATCAATAAAAATTTCAAAAAAAAAAAAACAAACGTGAGTCTGCAGCTAATATACAAAATATATTTTGTATATATTCAGCAAACTGCAGCCGAACCCCTTTTCGTTCCGGAAAGGGAGCGCCTGAAGTAATTCAGGTAATTCTGAAGTAATTCAGGTAATTCAAGTACACCTGAATTACTAAATTCAAAGTATTCAGGTATACTTTGAATAAACAGCCTGTGCAACAGGCTGTTACACGCAGGCATTGTAACAGGTGCTGTTACAATAACAGGGTCCAGGTTTCAAAACTGGTCTGTATACTTTTCTGCATGATTTTTTTTCTGACTATTTGCATTCTCTGCAGGTGATTCCTCTTGCTTGTGTAGAGAATTTTTTTTTCAAAACTTCATATTTCAATGATGATGTGAGTTCCTCATAACATCAACTTGAGTGGTAGTTGCAGTTTGAGAGTAAAAATAGGCTTTCACGTTTTCATAGCTGTGCCAAGTTTTCCCCAACCCACTCTGTAAATTAAAAATGATAAATAATAGAGTAGTCTTTGTCAGGAGAAAGTATAACCTCCTTAGTATTCACAATCACATGATTATCCTTCTGCAGCCATCATTTAAATAGAGAGCAAACATCTTGTCACTGCTACTTCTTCATATTGAGGTGAAGTGTTTTGTATACATTAAGTACGTAAAATTACATACGTACTACAAGGTAATATTTAAAACTGATCTAATCAGACATCTTAAAAAAGTGTTTACATCAACATTTTTAAGTTCATTGAAACTCCCACACTGCACCCACCTAAAAAGGGAATTAAAAATGACAAAAAACCCTTCAGAACATTTATTTTAAGAGAATTATTGTCTCACCCAATAAATAAATTTCATAAAAATTTTGAGTTTTTGAAAATGTTTCTTCAGAGTGGTGCATTTATATTAAGTTTCTCTTGTCACAAGTCTTTAACAAGAAACCCAATAAATGTGCATGGCACATTACAGTTATTTAAGACACTTTCTTTTTAAGACTTTCAGTGGATAGGAGAGATTCAGCAGTGGCCAGAGAACTGGATGTAGTCGTAGATGCGTCGAGAGATGTTCAGCTGGTCCATGATCTCTGAGGCTTTGGTACCCAGCAACCTCCTCAAAACAATCCTGCAGAGCTGCTGAAGGTTCAGAGGATTACCTGTCAGGAAGAAGACATCTCTGTTAATTCACTTTTTAGTTTTTCAGCAGACTGCAGCCACTCAGGCCAGCTGGTGCTTCTGGCAGAATTCAGCTGAAATTACTTTCATAAAACTGGAGGCAGGTGTAAGAGGGAGAGCCCGGCGTTGTGTAGTCGAATGGCTTCTTTCCACGTCTGTCACTGGCGTACACGTTGGCTCCAAATTCCACCAACAACTCGATCATGTCCACCATGTGGGCTCGAGCTGCGTGGTGCAAAGCTGTGTCGTGAAAATTCATTGAATTCACATTGGCACCTGCACAAAGGATGAAAACCAACCTATTCAAATCCTGGAATCAATGAGCTCACATTATTTACAGTCACAAAAAAAGGATTATTATTATGTTCAATGTTGTGTTCACAAATGGAGGTGACTTTTTTTGGGAGAACGCTGCAGTGACTGAAGTAGTTTTTGACATGATGTAACTTGCCTTTATTTGAGGGTGAATAAAAGATGCGCACTGAATGATTTTACAGACACACTTGGGTGTTCATTCAGAAAAGAACGGTTGAAGGTAATTTCTTCAACTTTAAATATCAGCATTTCATCTCACGGCTCTTGCTAACCATTAAAACTAACACACTAGCTTTAGTTGGCTGTTTGGAGTGAGAGATTCTGAATAGCAGAACAAATAAGCTACAGTTGCATTCTAGTCCACTCAGCCCACCGGAGGGTGTGCTCCAATTATAGAGGGCTCACACTCTTAAGCCTCGCTGGCAAGGTCTATTCAGGCTACTCTATGCTACTTTTTTAAACAACTCTTTATATTACATGCCTTCCAATTCACTTTTGTACACTACATTGTTATGGTGGATCACATACAACCTCGATAAAGATGAGTGAAGTTTGTGGTTGCAGCTCATGCATGGATCTGTTGCAAGGCACTGGCCTTGACTTGGTTAACAACCTGCTTTCAGCAGCACCTTGACACACTCCACTTGACTTTTAGCACATGCTATGTGAAGCGGAGGACCGAAGTGGACGTCAAAGGCTTCCAGCTTGGCACCGCTGGTTATCATCAGCTTCACCACATCAGCATTACCTGGGAGAAGATTGGAACGTTACTGAATGAACACGTTAGTTTCCCCAGCCTATTCCCAGAGGGCGCACCCTGGATGCAGGCCTCATGGAGTGGAGATGCAGTCAGTGCCGTGAGCGATGGGTTCACTGTGGCGCCGTACTCTAAGAGCAGCCGGGCACACTCCAGGCTGCCAGCGGCACAGGCGTTGCAGAGAGGCGTGCTGCCGTGGATGGTCCGGATGTCTACCTGGAACAGCCACACACACACCAGGCGCCGTCTCACCACCACCTCTGCATCTTTGGTGCTGCTGAGCCTGAACTCACCTGAGCTCCGGCCTCCAGCAGGAGGCGGGCGCAATTGGGACGGGCCTGAATGCAGGCTTCATGGAGCGGTGTGATGTTATCCGTGGTCACGGTGTTGACAGAGGCTCCGCTCTCTATGAGCTGCTTCAGCTGGAGGGCCCGGCCCTGAGACGCGGCTTCATGCAACGCCGTACGGTCTGCCCAGGAACCTGACACACACACCGGCAGAGTAACACACAGCACAACCTGACAGGACACTGGACCCAAACGATACCACAGATAGGGCTGTCCATTTATCATTAACTGTGACAAAATTCTCACTCATCTTGATAAGAATTTTGATTTATTGTTATGATAAATTCCTAATTGTGATGTCAAAAAGAAAAAAACTGTCGTCAGGATTGTTAATTTTACAGTTATCTCCACTGTTTGTTCAATGAGAGTATCAATAAATGTAAATTTAAAATGTATAATTATATGCAGTTACTAGGTACAGTTAGTGATATAAATGACATTTCTTTAAGAGGCTGGAGTCATCAAGAAGCGCATCACACCTGGATATGTTTTTCAAAAACAGGATTTGACAGCTGTCAACTCAGCAGTATTTCGTATGACTGTGTGGACCGTGGCATAAAATATATGTATTGAAAATAAATTTCATTGATCTTACGTAGCTCATCTTCTGACAAACTAAACTTGGTTTTGAGAGAGATTTTCAAAAATAAAACATTTTTACATTTGTGTGGGTTCAGATTTACGACAGTTTAACTTGACTTGCTCTGTCCGAGTTTAGCCTGCATGAACCGCGGCTGCTGAACATGCCGCGGTTTTCCGCTCATAAACAGTTGGACTCACCAATGTCGCAAAGAAACGAGCGACGCGCCGGAGTCACCTCCATGATGATCCGGACGGTAAATCAATCCGACCAGAACTCGCACAGCAACGCTTTGGTGAAAGAGGACTGTCCAGCAGGGGACTGTGGGAAGTGTAGTCCGCAGGTGGTCACTGTCTCGCTTGCTAGGTGCTAGCTAGACAGTGACTCTACTCAGAAATGGTGCTAGAAAATGACCTATAGTAGGTAGTTTTCTAGGAGCATTGCTGTCCACTGTGTAAAAACAATTTGCCCCGGGCCCGTTTCAGAAAGCGGGGTTAACAAGCTCTGAGTAGAAAGTACTCTGAGTAGACCTACCCAGCTCTGTAAAACTCCGGGGATTTTAGTTTCAGAATATCAACTAAGTAACTCAATTCTGAGTTAAGTTACCCCTGAGTTAAGCTTGAGCGCGAGAAAACGTCATTAAAGGGACGGAAATAACGCTGTTCATCATGGAAACGGGGGAAATGCGCATTTGTCGCTAATGGAATTAGAAATGTTACCATAACTAAGCTACTTGTGCTTGATACCTATAATATAAAAGATAAAAAGATTATCTTTGAAAGAGAACACCTGCTGTGGATTGAACCCTAGAGTCTTGTCTGACTAGTAGACATAAACCAGGAAGAATCGACTGTGACGAAAAACAGTGACGGTCGAAAACAATCCGGGAATCGTAAGATCTAGTCGCGGTGTGATCACCAGATTCCAATGGAGATTTGTGCAGAGTACTATTCTCCAACATCTTCACTCGCCATGGAGAGGACACGTCATTCTGACGCTTTCCTTGCGCCAGGTTTCAGCTAAGAAGTAGAAGCTCTGGGTTTGTATTGCAGATTGCATCTGCAGTAAAAAATAATTCAACATGTGAAAATCTGAGCCCTTTCTGCTCCACGTAAGACAGTTTAGGGCAGATCATTTAGCTACTTGGATTAATAATTGGATAGCAAAAGGTATGCATGCATGTCAGTGCTTACATATGCATTATTTTTAGCTTTGTTACTGCGGAGTCTGTGTACTCCAGTTAATAATTGATCAAATGCTAAACTAGTTAACGATTATTTCAATAACCAACTCATCACCGTTAATCAGGTATATCGTTTCAGTCCTAGTTGGAACACTTGATATTAATTCTCCTGCGTGTTAGAACACTTTTAAAAATTCCAACTAAATCTATACATTTCCATAAAAAATGAACAAATACAAGTCACTTGTTTTATTTTTTTTTTTACTTTGCAGTACAGAAATCATTTGAGCCCAGGCCAAGTGTTTTTCTTTTACAGTTGTTCAAAACAGAGACGAGGCTCTCATCAGTTCAATACTGCAGTAATACATTTGGTCCTTCTTAAGTAATTACAGTGAACCATATTTGCCATCCACCATCAATTTTTGGATCGTTTTACCAGGCATAGATCCAAATGTCTGCTGCTTTCTAGGAACTCAAGCTGTTGGTAGTTTCAGGTAGTTTTCTCTTGAGTACGGTCATCAGCGTGACTGTTAACAGTAAAGCATACCGTCTTGGCAGTGTGTCAGAGGTGAGACCCCTTCTGCCGCAGGTCTTTATTTGCTGAAATTACGACACCCTGCAAAGGACAAAGTTGCTTACAAGATTTAATACAAAAAGGACAAAGCCACCTCTCAGTCAGACATGGAAAACAAACACCTGCAGAAACAACATGGTGTTGGAGATATTGTACATCTTTTAGAACCTGAATGACAAAAAAAAACAAAAAAAAACTTGGGCCCCATCCACCCTAAACCCCAGAATTAGTTTTTTTTAGAGATACTGATCAATTCTTTTTCTGATTCAGGGTCTTTGGATTATGCTTCATCTAAACATGATGACTCACAACAGTATAAAGTACTGACTAATAGGCATAAACTGTATTTAGTGCAACATCCACCTGAATGAAATCTGAAAAAGCAATGCTCCCTTTCTGAACCCTATCCAACAACACTATTTCATATCTTTCTATAAATCATAAACTTCCAGAGGGCAAACCGTATACCTGAATATCTGGTTAGCCCAGCCATGAATACATATTTCTGTAGTTTATCTATTTGTTTTGTTTTTTTAAGAATTCCGTAATTGCCATCTTTGATAATCTGGAGTACTGTGGATGTGTCGCCTCTACTCTGCGCCGTCGCCAAAGATGTCCTGCTTTTTGCGCTCCATTTCAGCAAAGTCAAAGTCTGAACCAGTCATTCGCTTGTAGATGTCCTTGATGTCAGCACAGGTGGTCTCGAAGTGAGTCGTGGCATCATAAGAGCGGGAGATGAAAATCTGGAAAGGACAAAAGGATGAGACGAATATTTCTGACTGAGCCCAGAGAACAAAATGCCTTAATGCAAGAAACTAAATCTATAATAAAACACATGGTTTGTTTCAAGAAATTTGATTGTCTTACTTATACTTGAATATATTCTTAAATATATTTTAAGTTATTGCGACAAAAAATAATATTGTTGTTTTGAGACTATTTTCAATTAACATAATGGCAATGGCATAATAATGCAAGAATACATTCCCAGAGATCAATAAACTTTAAATTCTAATGAACATTTAACATTGGAACTGGAATACATTATTAATATTCAAAATAAATGACAGAAATAAATAAAATGAATTAGGGAATCTTTCTTAACAAAATTTGATTAAAGGTTTAGTTAAAACCAAAGTACCAGACTGAAGACTTCAGTCATTGAGTTTGATTTAATGTTTATTGCAGCAGGTCTGCTGACACCGATTTCCAGAAAAAAACTAATTTGGGAGTGTGTGCTCTGGATTTGAACAGAAATTAAAAATACAAAGAAACAGTCCAACGCTAGCTGGAGGCCATTTAGGTTCTGTCACAAAAACAGCAATGAGGAAAACCAGAGCCAGGAGACTTTCAAAGACTTTCTGGAGCTGTAGTGGTGGATTTATGAGCAATAAGATTGAACTGACAGAGCAGCCAACCCACCGGGGGACCCAAACATTTGTGTTTCTTTTCCTTTGTGGTAATCTTGTCTATGATGCAAGTTCTGTATTTTTCAGGTGATGATCAGAGTGGTGTCTGATTAAAATGCTAATGAAATCTCAAAATACAATGATTTTTTACTGAAGCATGCTAATGTAAACAGACAGAAAGTAGAAAAGATCATGACGTACTGTAATTGTAGGTGTTCACAGAAATTGTTATTGATTTTATTGATAAGTAATGATAGTGATTTCTGTCCCTATGTGGTCGCTTATCTCCTTGACACATTGAAATGAGTGCAACCAGCCACACCACTTGCTTAGCTTGCACAAGCTCATCGCAAATGTTCGTAAGTGCCAAAGCTAAAGTAGACAAAAAACATGCACTTCTACTCTGTTACAGACGCTCACGCGCTGAGTCAGGTGCGCTCGTATACAAACGAAAGCATTTTCCCGTCAGCAAACAGAAAAACAATCGCCACAACCTGCAAAACAGGGAAGGATATCAATTTTTTAAAAATGCTGAATTTTGCTTTAATTGCTGCAGCTTGTTCTCCAAATAGCAACAGGAATAACTATTATTGCTGTTAGAAAGTAGGGATACATCATTGTGGTTTTCGTCCAATCACAGTATGTAAAAATCTTGACTCATTTTGGCCTACACCGATTTGTTTCTGCAACAAATATAGCAAAAAAGTTGCAAAGTTGACAGCAGTAGGCAGACCATTATTGAACGATGCCCTCTCTCAGACCTTTGCGGTAGTAGAGAAAAAAATAAAAAAAAAAAAAAAAATATATATATATATATATATATATATCGGTTGATTAGATCTATTCACGTGCAAGTATGCATAGGTCATTGATCACCCAAAATCAAAGAAATTGGGCGATCAATCTGCCTGCCTTGCCTCCCTCACCACCCGCCAAGACATGTTCCTACTGAGAAAACAATTTGGAATATGCTCTCACAAGGTGATGCTAGATCCATACTGCAACTACACACTAGCGGACTAGAAAGAGGTAACAGACAAATCCTGCTCTGGCTTCTGTTCTACCAAACAAAAGCCTCAACAGCTTTAACCTCTCCTACTTAAAACGATATCTTGTCTCATACCAAAACAAACATTGTTTTTAATTGTTGCCCATTTTTTCAGGACCAGAATGGGAAGCAGTCTTCAACAGTAGATTTACTCCACTGTACCTACCTGGCTTTCAGTGCCCATGTCGGTGGGTTCATACAGATCACTGATGCTGACAAACTTCTGCTCGATGGGTTGCAGGAGGTCCATGGCCGGCTTAATTTCTTTCTCTGGTTCGTTCGTCTCCACCGTGGTGCTGGCGATTGCGATGTATTTACCAGCTGCGGCCACGTTGTGAGCAAAAGAGATCATGCAAACGTAGATGTCTGTAAAGAGAAAATACGAAGTTAACGTTTGACAGATTCACTGTGGAAATTAAATATTTCCAGCATTTCTGTTTTAATCGAAGCAAGTCTTTCCTATTCACATGTGAACTCACCGTGCTTCCTGTTAACCTGATTCTGTGGGATGATGATCTGGCAAGAGTTGATGTCACCGGTGTTGGCGATGGGATGACTCAGGATGCAGATGACTCTGATCACCTGGCCAACTTTCTTCACACGATCCATGACGTAGCTGGGGTCACAGATTAGCTGTTTGCACCTTGCAATCTGAGAGGAAGTGGTGGACAGAAAATTAATAAAAAGAGCAGCTGGGTTTTAGAAATAAAAATGTAGGTAGTTGGTTTGAAAATATAAAGTTTGTAGTGGTGCTTAATCGTGTTCCAAGTTTTAAGTCATCTGCACTGACTGAATGGTTGCAGTCAGAATTAATGGATCCAAGACATTTGAGCTGCACCCAATTGTGGGTTTGACTGCTGCCAACAATTGGTCGTAATGTTGTATTAACATTCAGCTAACCAACAGAACAGGCCCATTTTCAGCATGACTGTTTTCTCCAACATGCCAACAGTCCTGCACTTCTTTCAAGAAAACATTACCATGATCAGGTAATGCTTTTTTTTAATGTTTTTGGAAAACTGACAAGCAGATGACATTTTTCCCTGCTACTTGTTAGCAATAAAACAAAAAATATATGCAAAATATTTCTAATATCTTGTTTCATTAGATTTTTTTGTTAATTGTAAGTAATGTCCATCACATATCTGAGTAGAAGTTTTTCTACAAATAAAATGAAGTGGAATTACTGAACATCTGCTTCATAGACTAGATTAATGAGTTTGTCACCCAGAAGCATTCCTCAAGTTCTCAGCCTAGATGTTCAAAATATCAGTGTTACATTTAGTGTTGATTAAATGAATGAATACAAATATGCTTTATAAACAGCATATAAATATGTTTTTTGTTTTGCTTTTATTAAATAAATCATTGAGCTGTTTAGTGTCTTGTGTGAAAACATAAATAGAAGAATTTATAACTAAGGTCAACATTTTTACATTCATTCCATTTCTCTGCCCAACAGTGTGTAGGCTGAAGTTTGGAAGCCAAGTTTGTACCATATACTG